TTTTTTTAATTTTACATTTGTTAGTCGTATTACGATTATATATTGCCAAAAATATAATGATAATAATAATAAACTTTCACAAATATAAAACAAGATATCTGAAAGGAGATCAAAGGATCTTGTCGTCCTTAAATAAGTTTTAAACAAGCATTAACAAAGGTAACAACAGTATTAAATTTCTACCAATTTCCTAAGTTTATATTATATAATCCAAAGAGAGATCACGCGGATCTACTTACCAATATGAATATTACGAAAATATAATAATATGTTAATTAAAGAGTATAAAATCAACAAAATAAGTAAGAATAAACTTTTTACAAATGTAAATAAAAAAAGGCAAAGTTATATTATTAATAACAACATAATACGTCATCTATTGAAAAAATTAGGGTTTTTAATTTACTTTTAAAAAAACGAAAAGTAATGGGTAGTTCGGAGTCAAAATTCGGCAGAACAATTTTATTCCAAAGGTGTGGTAGTCGATAGGCAATACAAAGTTGATTAAAGTTCGTTTGACAAAAGGGTTCATTTAAAAAATCAGTATTTCTCAAATAGTATTTGTTGAAAGGTTTCGGAGTAAAAATATCTTTGAAGACAGATTGAGACAAGTTATTTTTCCATATGTATACAAAGCATAAAACATATATATTTAGCTCGTATATATTTAAAATTTTCATTTCAATAATATAATGTTTTGCGTGAGAAAAGCGATTTACAAAGCAGATTAAACGGTTTGCATGTTCCTGACGGCGATAAAGACGTTGCAACTTACTTTTTTTTGTACTACCCCAGGCGATATTAGCATAATTTAAATAATTGTGTATAAATGAATAATAAAGTTTGATTAAAATTATCTTATTGAGGCAGATTCGTGCTTTATATAAAGTTTCTATGTTTTTTGAAATTTTAGTGCTTATGTAGTCGATATGATGATTCCAAGTGATGTTTTCATCAAGATAAACACCTAAAAATTTTGTTACGGAATCCCTTTCAATTTCAATTTGATCGATAAAAAATTTAGGTAAGTTTAATGTCAAATACCGTTTTTTGAAAAGCGAATGAAATAAGGTCCACTTTGTTTTATTAGTATATAGAGTTAACTTATTACAATTAAACCAACTCGATACATGTCAAAGCTCTTTGTTCATTCTTTTAAAAAGTTCAAAGATATCACTGTTAGAAAGGAATAAGTTAGTACCATCTGCAAACATAATACTTGTTAGTTTAGAGGCTTTATTTAAATCATTAATATAAATTAGGAAAAGGAATGAGCCAAGCCTTGTGGGACTCCACATGTTATAGAAAGACAATTGGTGTGATAACCGTCATTACTCGAACATCAGAATCCATTCGCGCCAATGCTTGGAAATTGCTCTGAATTTAGTCAATATTTATCATAAAAAGCGTAACTTTGAACAATTGGCGCGAATACTTCTATCAAGAAAAAAAAAAAAAAATTCCATATAAATATGACCCCTACGCCACTCTTAAGCCACTCCGCATGAAAATTGGTTGTCGAAAAAAGTTATGGGATTGGCTAATATATATATATATATATATATATATATATATATATATATATATATATATATATATATATATATATATATATATATATATATATATATATATATATATATATATATATATATATATATATATATATATATATATTAGCCAATCCCATAATTATAATTAAATAAATAATGCTATTATGTATTTAGAATAAAAACAACAATCTTATATAAAAATTTTTTCACTAAGCAGTAACAAAAAAAGAGTTAATCAAAATTATGCAAAGATTTTATATATAGGGATAGAGAAAAAAAAAGATTTGGTAGCCTAGCTTGTATATCGTTGTTATGCATTGTTTGTGACAAGTTAAGTTTAATAAAGAACCAACATAACTTGACCCACATTCATTCCATTTAAAAGTATTTTATGACGTCACTTCATTATGTGTAAATATTTCTAAGGCAAAATTAAATTTTAAAACTCCTAAATCTAAATGTCATCTATACTTTCACATTGTAAATATGACTGCATAGATGATAAATAGCAAGTATTTAAGGCAACCCTAAACCATTGGGGTCTGGGAATAAATTATCCCGTTGTCGGAGAGACCCTTCTCTCTAATAGTGTTTTGCTCAATTATCATTTAAATGATGTAATGTTAAAAAAAGAAAGCGAATATAAGTTATTTTATTATTTTTAATAAAACTTTTTTTTTTAATAAATCATTCCCATATTTCGACTAAATCAACTTTTAGTCGAATTAGTTTATTTTGAAAATAGATTTGTAACAACGCTCACGGTTGTTTGGATGTGAAAAGTTATTATAGGCAAGCGTAGAGTCAAATACATACATAACAATTTTAAAGATGGTGACGGCTTTAAGATACAAAGAATTTTTCTAATCAGCAACAACATACTTAGAGTTTTAGTAGTTGTTATTTGTATATTTTTGATAGAATGAAATAATTATAGAAAATTATCTTCCCAAAAAGCTAGTTTAACGTCGTGCCCTGGACATATAAATATTAGACTCCTGCTAAGCTTTAATATTTTGAATCGAATCAAAAGAGTGATTCGAGACTTTTAAAAAAAGGTTCTCAATGAAAAGGCTTTTCTTAGTCTTCTGCAAGTTTCCTTACAACTACGTAGTACTATTAATATAAATTAATATATAGTTTCAATGACAACGACAAGCAAGTCCCTAGTAGCCCTGTGGTGCGACGGACTTGCGTATATATTTTTAATGCATGGGTTAATAGCCAGCACTTTATATTATAAACTACGAAATTATAGGTTAATTATTTTAACTCAGTCAAACGCGCATGCATAAAACTGTAAATGTTATTTGTTTTTGAAGTATATAATAATGATTGTTGTTCAAAAAAAAAAAAAAAAAAAAAATCTCCATTTATTTGAATCAAGCTAACTTCATTATAAATTTTTACAAACTTTAGAGTAATAACATTACACTAAAGTTATGAACTAAAATAATAAGTGTAAATAATTTTAGTGTGTTCTACAAATACTTTACTTATGTACTTTATGTTATAAGAAACAAATTTAAAGTTTTAATTTTATATATGTATGAACTGAGCAAAAATAAATTAGGAAAAAAAAAAATCAGGATTATCAGGAAGAATTTACAGTTATATAATTTTGTTATAACTGTTTTTACTAATATATATATATATATATATATATATATATATATATATATATATATATATATATATATATATATATATATACATATATATATATACATATATATATATATATACATATATATATATATATATATATAATCAATGTAATTATTGCATTGTGACTATTGAGTAACAGTTAATGTTGCAAAAATATCTTTAAATCTTGAAAAAAATGTATACTAATATTAGTAAACATTCCAAAAAAGATAAAAAGTTCATCTATCTGAAAAAGTTAGAAGCCGAAGGTAACCCAGTGGGCATTTCGACGTCGGATCTCGACGTCGGATCGACGTTGGGTTTACGTTGGAAATGGAAATGTTATTTGACGTCGGATAAACTGACATCGCGCGACATCGGCATTCCGATGTAAATCCAACGTGTTTTTTGTAAACTAAAAATTGTTGGCTTAGACAGGTATCGAACCTCGGTCGATTAGAAACTAAATCCTACGCGCTTGCCACTACACCACAGCCGCTCATTAATTTATGTGTTTATTTAGTAATTTATACTTGTAGCTATTTGGGAATTATTACTTTGATAAGAAATAATTTTGTTTAAATATTATATAAATATTAAAACGAATAGTTATATATTATAAAAAATGTATACTCGAAAATGTTAATAGTTAAAAAACTATGCTAGTGCATCATACAAAACCTCATGATGTTTTATCAACCATTATTCAAACTTCTTTCCATTAATAAAAAACACGCTTAGTTCACATATTTATTGAAGAGCGCAATTGCACACATATTGTTGGGTTTGGATTAAATTTTCATCAGCGATGTCTTACGACGTTGTTCCGACGTCGTTTTAAGGACGTTGGATTGACGTCGGAAGACGTCAAAAGACATCGGAGTACGTTAATATTATGACGTTGCCCGACGTCTTTTTATCGACGTTGGATCGATGTCAGTACTGCGACGTTTTTTGGACGTCTTTTATAAGATGTCGGAACAACGTCAAAATACATCGAAACGACGTCAGGGGATGTTGAGATAAAGACATCGCCCGACGTCATTTTACTGACATCGGAACAACGTCGGAATAGGTCTTTTGACATCGTTGATGAAAATCGTACGTAAATCCGACGTCGGATTGACGTCGGGTGCCCACTGGGAAGTGTTGAGTATATAAGGTTAAGAGGTGAGAAAAATTAGGCGTCCATCTTAATCAGTATGTGAATTTTTTTTATGAGTAATTACTAAACTTTAATGATGGAAAATTTGAGTTTTGGACATGTAATTCCACTTAACAGACTACAGTGCATTGAACTGATGAAAGAAACTAGCTAAAATAATAATCTAAACTACCTTATAAACACTTGGAGTTCTAATCTCAACAAGGACGCTTTACCAGTTCTTTCACAAACTAAAAAACGGTGGTTGAGAGTTTATATAAGATTTTTAGTTCGCGTAAAAGAAAATAGAAGACTTCACCAAAACGATCAGCGGTTTTGATTATTGAAACATTTAAAAAAGTGACAAATTCTGAAGACTTAAAATTCAAATTCATATAAAAAGAATTTTTAATGGCTGCCATTTATATTGAATTTATGACGAAAAAACTTTAAAGCAGTCCTAATAACGTATATCCAAAACTTTTGTTTCGTTTTTATATTTCATTTAGAAAAAATTTAAAATTAAAATAATTCCAAAGAATGTTTATTTCTTATTTTAAAAACAATAATTTGGAAATATATTTTAAAAGTTTTAGAACCGAACATCTTAAATTTAATCAAAAACGTTTTCGATTCTTTCGAATAAAACTACACAATAACTGTTATCATCTTTACGTTACTTCATCAAAAGCTTTAAAATAAAATATTAAATACAATAAAATACAAAAGCAATATTAAAAAAAATAAACACGGCCTGTTACTAGGCAACACTATTAAATAACAAATGGAATGCGCGAATTTAATTTTAACACTTTTTGAGAATGCTTGTACAAATATTGGCTTAAAAAGTTAAAAATGAAATAAAAATTAGCAAACAAAGTTTTTAAACAATTAGGGGACAATAAAAAAAAATTAACGAAATTCTACAATAAGGCGATACAGCCACATGGATAGCACAATGCATATAACCTAAAATAAAACGATAAACTAAATTTTAATAAATAAAAAAGATTTAAGATAATCCAATAACAAAACAACAAAAAACCTGTGCCATTCCGGAAGCAACACTCACTGCAGCAATTATAAACAAATGGTTAAGCAGGTAACTTTCCAATGCGCTAAAGCAACCCAGGGTTTTATCCTTAGAAAAATACACGAAATATTTTTTAAAAAAATCATAAAATAAATATTATAATATATAAATAAATAATAAAGCCATCTTTAAATTAATTGAAAAAGTATAAAAAAAACAACAAAAAAACAAAAAAAAAAAACAAATTCGTTTGAATGACATGCATATAAATAAATATATATATACTAACAAAATAAAAAGTTTGAAAGTATGACATTAGTCTGAAGATAATATCTAAATTTTTATAATGACCTTTGATTTGCTTTATTTTTATTTCTTAAACCCTAGAAACTATTCAGAATATAAAATAGTTTCAAACAAGAACATGGCATCTATTTTTAGTAACTAGCAACCAAACAAAAAAGTATATGAATTCAATTCCCGGCCTACTTGGCAGGTCATTAAAACTAAATAAAATTAGTTTTCCAAAAATATTTTTGTTACAAAACGAATAAAACTAGGAAATAATAAAATAATATTTTATTAAAATTGATTTAAAAATTTAGGAAACCCCAATCTATCCCTATTTCATTATGGCATCATCATTAATGTTATATATATATATATATATATATATATATATATATATATATATATATATATATATATATATATATATATATATATATATATATATATATATATATACACATATATATATATATATATATATATATATATATACATATATATATATATATATATATATATATATATATATATATATATATATATATATATATATATATATATATATATATATAAATATATATATATATATATTTTTTAACATCTTCGTTTCCAACAAGGCTGCAAGCAACCACTAATTAGTGTTGGAAGTTACTGGAAGAGAAAAGATGAAGATTGTAGAGCAAGATAACGATTGACAGACGACTTAAAAGATTGCAAATTATATGAATCAGGAAAGCAAGATAAAGGAAGCGAATTCCAAAGAACTGATGTTCGAGGAAAAAAACTAGACGAATAAGAGTTTTTGGAGCACTTAGGAACAGTAACAGAAAAAGGATGAGACTTAATTGAATGACGAGTAACACGAAAATGAATTTTAGTAGATGGCACAAGAGACGCTAGCTCTTTAGAGCAGTGCCTATTATAGTACTTGTAGAAAAGAGAAAGAGAACCAACATTACGGCGATGTGACAAAGGTTGAAGGTTTGGCTGCAAGAGCAGGTCCAACTATGTTTACAATGCGCTTTTGCACCTTGTCTAAAAGAGAAAGGGCATCATTAGAAGACCCGACCCAGATACGGCAACAGTATTCCATACAAGGCCGGATTTGAGATTTAGAGAGATGGAGAATAGAATCCAGAGTAAGAAAGTGTCGAGCTCGATAAAGAGATGCAACTTTAGCGATGCTAATTTTGCAACGGATTTGCAAAGGGTAGATGACTCATCGAGTACATTACCGTTCATAAATAAATGAAGGTCTAAATTATTGCGATAACGATTGGCTGAAAAAAGTTGAGTTTTATCTTAATTAAAGTTCACCAGCCACTGTGAGCCCCATGCTGTAGCAGAAGTGAGATCCTTTTCAAGCTCAAATGCCCCTGCAAGCAATCAGAGGGAGTTGGCTTCTTATCGTGATAAGAATAAATGGAACTATCATCAGCGAACAATCCCATCTTAGATGTGAGATTATCTGGAAGATCGTTAATGTAAATTAAAAAGACTATAGGGCCAAGGATTGAACCTTGAGGAACCCCTGAGGTTACAAAATAAGAAGAAGAGTGCTTAAAGATTCAAAAACCTTGCTTATGATAGGAAGAAGATTAATCGGATGGTAGTTTGACGAATTAGATCGCTCTCCAGAATTTTTAAAAATAGGGATAACAGATGCTGCTTTCCAGCAGGCTGGAAAACAAGACTCTGATAAGCACTTTTTGAATAGTTTTGAAAGGATAGACGACAGCTCCGGAGAACACTTCTGCAAGACTATAACAGGTATGTTGTCCGGGTCGCAAGCTGTAGAAGAGTCTAAGCAGGAAATCACTTTAGATACAGAAGCTGGAGTGATACGGATGCCGAGCAATGGATCAACCTGTTTGACGGCTATATCAGGTAGGACACAACTAGTGGAACTAAGAGATGATATTGATGAAAAGTTCTTAGCAAACAATTCAGCCTTGTCTTTAGGTAAAGTGACAAAGTCTGAACCATACAAAAGAGGCGGAATTACAGATTTGCCCTCATTATTGATACTATTAAAGGTTCTCCAGAAGTCACAAGAGCCTAATTTTTGTGATGAAATACAAGATTTCATGATCTGAGAATAGCGGGCTTTGGCGTTAGACAAAACCTTTTTACAATGGTTCCTAGCAGTAATAAACAGACGTCTGTTTTCTGGAGAATTGTTTTGCTGATAGATATGGAAGTAATGGTTTCGATTGGCATTTGCAGCAGCACAATGTGAGCAAAACCATGGAGAAGAGTGAGGCTTGACCTGGAATCGTTGAGAGGGAATAAAGGAATCCATGCCAGCCTAAATCCACGAAGTTATGTAAGAAGCACATTTCTCAACAGGAAGACGAAAGATTTCTACCCAAGGACCATCACAAAGAAAATCACGGAAAGAGTCTTAGTCAGCTTCAAGGTAGTTGTAAGATGTACGATGATAGGGGGATTCTGACGATAAAGAAGAATGAGATAATAGTTTTAGAGAGATCAAACCATGATCGGAAGCATTTAAGGGTGAATGTAGAGAAACTGAGCACTGACTAGGATCAGAAACAAGACATAAGTCGAGTAGAGAAGGTAAATGATTCGGGTTGTCTGGAAAGCGAGTTGGAAAGTTGACTATTTGAGTTAGGGATTGAGAAAGGCAAAAGATGTGGGCTTTAATGTCTGCAGAGTCACTGACACTAGAGCCAAGCCATTCAGTGTGATGAGCATTAAAGTCACCGACAACAACAATATTGGCTGATGGATAAAGAGAGAGGGCTTGGTCAATATAATCAGAAATAACATCAAGAAGAGTAGAGTCTTGAGATGAAGGAGAGCGATATAGAACAAAGAGAAAGGTGATGGAGTGAAGTGGTGCTAAACAAAAGCATATAAAAAAGTAGTTTGTGGATTCAAACCTAGTTTCCCAACAAGTGGGTAAATTCTTATGAATGTAAATGCCCAGGCCAAGCATGTGACTATTGGAGTCTTTATGAATTAAAGGGAGATCAACACTAAGATCACAAAATGAGACAGCTGAACTCAAATTAGTCTCACAAAGAGCAAGTAGGTCCAATGAACTTTGCAAGAGATAAGACTTAAACAGAAGAAAAGTTACTTTGAAGACCACGAATATTAGTGAATGATAGGTTTAGCAAACTTGATGATGACTGTGGTTTTTTGTGTTTTATAGTTTTTGTTATTTTATTCATTTTTAAATTTGTTAAAGAACTTAACTCAAAACATAGATAGTACTCAGTACACTGTCTTATAGCCCGAGCAATTGCCTCATTACTCTTAATAAACCCTAAGCCATAATAAAGAGCTCCAATGTGGCCTCGGCAATGCACACCAAAAGTACAAACAGGGACACCATCCATGAGCAACATGGCACTGTTAGTACTTTGATATTTTTCAGCTGTTGATGGAATCAGCCTCTCTGAGAGCTACCACAGAGTTCGGGAAACCTGACTACCTGCCGGCCTCAGAACCATAAAACTGAGTTTTAGAGCTGTACCCTCATTAGGAGATAATAGAATGAGTTGCCTAGTCATAAAAACAGAGACACAAACAAAACCCATGCATCAGGTCAAGAAGATCCAGCATTCAACATCCTAAACTGGAAACAATGTATTAAAAATACATCTGCACCAGCCTAACAGATGAAGAAGGGGTGCGAGGCTGGTCAACAGATAGAATCAGTTTACCCCTTAAGTCTTTGCTTAGGAGGCCTTCTACAAGACAGCAGCCGGATGCATTTAACATCTGCCCAAGATGAGTATTTTTATCGAGAAACCATCTATAGTCTTAACTCAACCAAGAGCCTCAAGGCAGGGGGTGTTTTATGTCGGAGTTGGCATCTCCTAGCCTTTGCCTAAAAAAGCATATCCTACAAGGCAGCTGGACATGAAGCAGATTGTACTGAATTACATGTTACCAGTAGCAGGATAAACCTGACCTGACAAAGGTCATAATAGACATAATAGAGTCCTCCAAATATTTTTTTTGAAAATCAAAGTGTGGAAAAGTGAAACAATTGTCTTAATGTAAAAGAAGCTTCCAGTTAAAATTTCAGTTCCTTAAGTCAACTCTGAGGTGTTTTCAGGTAATCCCTATATAATTTTTTCTGGTTTAGATTACATTCATTATATAGAGTAAGAATGATACATATTTTATCAACGCTATTATAGAAAAAGTTCTAAACTGACACTTTTACTCTACTTTGACCAGAAAGCATCAAAAAAGTGTTGAGGACAATTATATGCTCTGCAGATACTTTTTTGTGCCTTTCTTTGATATTTATTGTCTGTTTTGTCCAGACAATCTAGAAAACAATAAATAAATTAAAACAGGCAAGATAATAATAGAAATGTAGAACCCAAACTTTAAAAACCTAATAAAGTTTAGGTTTTAAAATATTATGGTATGAAAAATACTCTAATCAGTTTTACCGATATATTATTGTATAGTAATGTACCTGAAGAGCGTCCTGAAGTATTTCCTCTAAACGTGTACTTCTGATAAAGTCTTGGATCAACTTGATGTGATGTTCAGCCTAATAATTTACAACTGCAAGCCATTTTGCACAAATAGAGAACTTGATAAAACCTAGGGGTTCTCTCACGCATGCAATCCTCTATGACTTTCTCCTTCCTTCAACTAAAGCTTTTACCTAGTAATTTCCAGGAGAAAAAAAAGAAGAAAACGTTGTAACAATAGCTATATTGATTCCAGACTTTTCAATTGCCAAGTCTTCCTTTTCTTGAGCTACAAAAATGATTTGTTGAGAATATTGTTTTTGACATCAGCATCCAGATCCATGTCAGCAAGAGACACAACAACAAGCTGGGAAGATAGATACCAAGTGTGGCTTAAAAAACTTTTTGGTAAGAATCTTCTCAATCTCTACGTAGACTTTAAAGTACTCTGACATTTGGAGCTGGAAGGCTATTCTAAAGATTTTTAGATGAGCCTGAGTTAGTCTAATAGTCTTTAGGATCAGTTTCAAGCAAAGAATCATTTATAGCAATTCTTTTATGAGTTGTTGAAATTCCTTCTTCACTGGTGTGCTGACAACATAGTGTCAAAGTGAATCACTAGCTTTAAGCCTCTTTGTCCATGTTCTGTTTCTTTGTCCATATTCTGGTCTCGGATGATCTGTGCTTCGGTTACAACCGTCAGCATTTTCCTGCTCAGAGTTGATCTTAAGATTTTAAGCTCCTCAAGGTTAATACTATCAGCTTTATAAAAAGAGGTTAACAAACAGGTCCTGGGTCTATCATCAACACTATATCTTTCATAATAATGATCAAGTTTTGTAAGAGTTCATCCATACTCAGTTGACTAATTTGTACTTCCCCTGAATTCTTCCTGGTCTTTATAGAAGGCCTAAAAGTGTCACCAGAGTCTGGCACGCTGCCGCTGCCTTTGTATAGGAACTTCAAACTCTTCCTTTAGTTCTTCTACCTTCTTCTTATTCTTTCTGACTTCAATTCTTCTTATTCTCCTGATTTCAATCATTTTCTTTTGTGCATCTTTCACGATCCTTAGTCTCTTCCCTAAATTTTTTAAAATGAATTATCGTTTCCACCATCTTGACCATGTCATTTATAAGGCAGTGCCTCTGAAATTGAGTGTCCTTTTTTAAGGCCTCCTTGACTCTCTTTGGGTCATACTTTATCAAGTTAAAGTTGTTAAACTTGTCAAATTTTTTACTGAAGCCTCATACTGCAGGCAGAATGATGACAATTCTCTTACATTTTCCTGCTGCAAAATTCCCAGGCCAAGCATGTGACTATTGGAGTCTTTATGAATTAAAGGGAGATTTCCTGCTGCATTTTTTTGCATTTCATGCAAAACTGCTGCAAAATTGCTGCAATAACTCTTCCTTAAAGCAATGGAACAGCCAACCTTGAAGATCATCTTGGTAGTGCTAAAACAATGTAAAATAGTTGCATGTAGAATAATCAGTCAGCAAATATTTTTCAACAAACTTTACCTTTACTTAAATTACTCGGTTTGTTTAGTAATGTTGAGCAGTAAAACATGAGCAATTCTCCAGAGGTTGGAAGCCTATTTGGAGCAAAGTTTGTTAGTGGGAAGCCTAACAGATAAAACTGTGTTCTTTTCTTTGCAACTAGTCTTAAATCCTAAGCTGACACTAGTATTATTTAATGCATTTTTTTTCTTGAAGCAATTGTTTGAAGTGTACAGTCGCTTGTTTGGTAACACTGAGCTCAATTAATAATGTTAAGATGTACTATAAAATATAAATATCATACATAATACTATGCTTTTTATTTAATCATTTATCCCTTTCTGAACAAATAAGTTGCACAAAATTTTTTAGCGATTAAAACAAAAAACTTGTTTAATGAAAATAAAACTTATTATTTGAACCTGTTATACAGTATATAAGAAAATTTTAAAAACAACCACTCAAATGGTTTCTTAACTCAAAACTAGCGCCCTAGTTATTGAAGCACATTAAATTTAATTGTTTTTATATAAAACCACAAAATTCTTTTTAAATTTGAAAATAATAAAATAGAATTTTTTAATTTATGGAATTAAAAATTTTTTTATTGTATAGGGATTACCTAAAAACATCTTTACCTAAGAGTTGACTTAAAGAGAAGATTTAACTCGTCCACACTTCGAATTCAAAAAAAAAAATTTTTTCAGACACCCTATAATATATTCTCTCTAATACTTTAAATTCTCTCCAAGTTTTCTTATTTCAATCTTTATCTACCCAAAACTTTCAACTTTCTACACGGTGATACCCATATTTATATTCTACATGCCCAAACCACTAAATCTTTTCTGATAGACCCTATCATATAGACTCACTATTCCCAATTTGTGCCTAGAATCATTAATTTATTTTCTTATCATTTAGAATTACGCTGTATATCCCTCCAATAATCATCAACTTTACTCAACTCTTTCAGGCTGCAGTGCTTAGGTTCATATCATAAATATTGTTATTAAAATTAGAATTAAGTATAGAGAATTAAGTTTTATAAATAATTGCAAGGTAAAAAGAATTTTAAATAAAAATCTAAAAATAGAGTCATTAAAATGAAAATCAAAGAAATTCCTTGATTACATGTTAAACTAATACCAAACCTCCAAAACATGTTGTGTTCATATTAAAGAGAATGATAAAAAAAAATTTGGGGCTAAATTTTTTTGATTAAAACAAAAGAATAAATGCATACCAAGAAAAACTAACCTTTTTATTTTAGTCGAAGCTTGCCTTCTTTGTTTTGTTGTAGGTCAAAAAGTCAGCATAATATATGCCGCAATCTACAGACTTGATAATTTATTCAAGTTTTATTCCTAAGAGTTTCAGTATATGACATCATGATTTTTTTGTTTGTTTACATAATTAATCTTTTACGCAAAAAAAAAAATCAATGATGTCATGTACTGAAACTCTTAGAAATAAAACGCACTTGAATAAATTATCAAGTCAGTAGATTGCGGCGTATATTATGCTGACTTTTTGGCCTACAACAAAACAGAGAAGGTGAGCTTCGACTAAAATAAAAGTTAGTTTTTCTTGGTATGCGTTTATTCTTTTGTTTTAATCAAAAAAATTTAGCTTAATCATTTTTTTTATCATTCTTTAATATGAACACAACATGTTTCCGAATTTGAGATCCCTTTAAGGAAAAATATTTACAGTTTTTCAGTGGTGAAAAAATTAGAATTATCTACAAGTTTGATTGAAAACTGATTTCTCAGTTTAAAGCATGCATTAAGGTGTTTAAAAGAAATAGCAAATATATATATATATATATATATATATATATATATATATATATATATATATATATATATATATATATATATATATATATATATATATGTATTTAATGTTAGGTCACTTGTTACTTTTAAAAGAAACTTTAGATTTCAACTAGTTAATTAAAAGGGCGTGTTTGCATGATTTTAACACTTTTTTAGAAAAACATCAATCAAGAAAGTACATTACCATCAGTACGCAGTTTATACTGCCCAAAAAAACATAATATTGAGGTTACTAACAGCTGTGAGAATGGATACCTTGAAGAAAGAAATTTGTATATTGATTTCTCAATTTTATATTTTTATATAATATAGTATATTGATTCCCAATTTTATAAATTTGTATATAGATTTTTTCAATTTTATGGCACTATCAGAATATGTCTACTAAAAAGTTCATGTGTAAATAAATTTGCAAGGATATTTGTGCATGTGTGTGTGTATACACTCCAAAAGTAATGTAATTAATGTTGGCTAATCAGATTTATAGTTTTTGGTAAAACATACTTTGCTGAAAATATATCAATTAGGGTAGAGCAAATTGAAAATTTTTGAAATTAGATTGGCTGAGTTGTAAATTGTTGCCTCATAATAAAAAAAAATACAAATTACAGTAAAAAAAAAATTCCTATTAATGGATCCTAAAATAGAAAAAAATGCTAGTTTTGAAAATATCAATTTAAGCTTAAACCTCAAAAATATATAAAAGTTTGCTATATTGCAAACTTTGTTATGAAAATATCAATTAAAGCTTGAACCTCAAAAATATCTCAAAATTTGTTTTATTTCAAACTTTGTTAAAACAAGATTTTCAACAAAGTTTGTTAAAACTAAATCAAATTTTTTTAACAAAAAAAATTTGATTTACTGTATAATTAAAAAAAAAAATCAATATTATTTTCAAAATCAGCATACAACTTAGCTTTTTTTGAACCTCAGATTGACATGACATGATTGTAATGATAAATTTTTTTTTGAACTAATATTAGAATCCCTTAAAATTGTTGGATCCTAGAAGAACTTCAAGAACTCATCAAAAGTTTTTTTTTTCTTTCTTGTTAAAGCACCATTTAATAGAACACCATTTGTGTCTTATAAATATTGATTATCAAAATTTTTTGCTATGAAAATCGCTCTAACTTGTAAAAACTGCTCCACCCTAAGGCATTGAAATTTGTTAGTAAAATTAAAAATGACTATCTATGTCAATCTACTTTAACAAAATAATATACTTAAAACCAAACCAAAAACTACAAACAAATAATTTACTTACCTCCAAATCATTTCTCCATATATTAGAAGGGTGCACTCGCCGGCCACAATTTTCGCTTGGAGTAATACAACAAGAGTCAGGTACTAAAATATTGCTTTCATTTTTTCTAGCCCATGAAGACCGTTCCCAACTTTTATAATCAACATCTCCACAACATTTGTACTAATGCATGAAAGCATAAAAACATAACTAACATAACTTATGCTAACATAATTTAACATAAGTTAACATAAAATTGTTAATATCTCAATAACTTTCAGAAAAATATTCATCATATTAAAAAAATACAAACAAATATTAGAAATTCATGAAAATTAAATTTTACAATAATATAACAATAATAAATAGTAATAAAAGTAAAAAATACATTTAACACCAAGAAAATAAAGATGACAGAATTTAAACATTTTGCTTTTCAAGAGTTTTTTTTTAATTTAATTTCAGGAGTTGGTAAATAAAAAGTTTCAAAACAACCTTCTGCTTTATAATACATTTTAAAATACTTTGTCATACACTTAATGAGTTTCATTCATAATTCTCTTAGGATTTACAATTGTTTTGCCATACATCTAATGCGTTTCATTCATAATTCTCTTAGGACTAACAAATGTTTTGATGTATAACTTAGATATGGTAAATTAGTTTTATGATATGGTAAGTATGGTTTTAAATAGATATGGTAAACATGGTTTTAAATATCCTTATATGTTTATAAGAACATGGATTTTTTTAAGTATCAAATGATTGTTTATAAGAACATGAATGTTTTTAAGTATCAAACAATTGTTTATAAGAACATGGATTTTTTTTAAGTATCAAATGATTGTTTATAAGAACATGGATTTTTTTGCATCAACACAAAGTATTCCTGTAGCTTTGTAAGAAATTACCTATTGACCCACCACCGTATTGACCCACCACCACCCACCCACCACCGTCTTGTGTTCTTAGGAATAATCTTAGGGACAACCTAATTTCTGTTTTTGCAATTGAGTTACTTATGAATGTCAAAAAATAGAAAACATTAATAAAAGTAACTCATCTCTAATAAATACATAGCCATTCAATCTATCATTTTTAATAAAAGATTTTTTGGGGAATCAAAGTTGATGCTGTGTGAGATTTATCTACTTCTAAACTTATATTTATAGATAAGGAAACAGCTCTCTTCACTCCTTCAAAAATAAAACAAAACTACAAATTACTGGATATGTTATTCTTAAACATGGAGTCCTTGAGTCTAATCTCTTTTATAAGAACACATTAAAAATGCTGATTTAAAAATAATAGATTCTAGGATTCTGAAACCCTGTACTTTGTTATCTATTGTGTTTAGAAGTTCCTTAAGATTTTCACAGCTCTAGAGTCAACATATTTAATATTCAACAGTGAACTCCAGAATCCATTTGGAGACTTTGTATCCTTGTGTTTACTATGTTGTGAAGCTGTCAAACTCTGTTGTTAAATTGCAAAATGATAAAAAAACAAGTTGTTTAGAGATTATAATATTTCTTAAATTTTTTTATAATTTGGCATAAATATTTAATGATAATTAATAAGAATTACCATGTTTTTTAAGCAAGTCAGTCCTAGGTATTTTTTTATTTTATTTTGATTATAAAGGCTTGCCCAAACTAAATCTCAAGTTGATTTATGCACACTAAGCTACACCATTGGTTTTCAGAATGACAATCAGTCAACGTATGTACACACATATAAAAGTATAAAATTTATAATATCAAAAAAATCAGAACTAACATTTATTTGGAGTCGATCAATGGCCTTTGTTTTCTTTTCGTTGCCTGGTAAACCATAATTGGTTGCTATTGTTACATTTAAACTTCTTTTCACCTGATTTTGAACCTTGAAAAATATTAAATAATTTCCAAATTAAAATAAACAAATTAAGAAAAATAACAAAACAAAATGTATATTTTTAGATTCTGTATATATTTATATATATATATATATATATATATATATATATATATATATATATATATATATATATATATATATATATATATATATATATATATATATATATATATATATATATATATATATATATATGAAAAGTTTATTTTGAAAATGTGGTATGAATAGTTTTGTTTTTGTGCCAACTTAAAATCAACAAATAACTAAAATAAAAAATATTTACATTTATAAAAAACAATCTTTAAAAAGTTACTAATTATAAACAAATTAAAAAATATAAAAATATAAAATTGTTCAGATCTCATCAACCAAAACTTTTTGGTTAGATATTAACTCTGTGATGACGAGTGTGAAACTTTCTAGCACAACTCTAACTCTATTTTTTATCACTCCCTCCTCTCCCTCTCTATCACACCCTCTCTCTCCTGAGGCACCAAAAAATTTAAACCACTAAAACAAATTAATTCATTCAAAAAACATGTTGATGCAAATATACATTCTGAAAAACTTTTATTAAACATATCATTATTTAAAATAAAATTTTACACTAACCATCACAGGAGTAATAGAAAACTACTAGAAAAGTTACAGCCAACAAGATTCTGACCAATTATATATTTTTAAAACAGCCACAATACACAAGCACACAAATTTAACATCCTGTAAAATTTTTAAAACATACTTCTCCTTTGTATACATAGGCCATGATTCCACCAACAAGTTCAATCAAGCAAACAATAGTGATCATGAGAAAAAACTAAATTATTTAAGAGTATTAATACTAACATTACAAATTCTGTTTATTACTTTTTCTATTAATATTAAATTATTTTTTTTTGACTATTTTATTAATACCAACTATATTAATTCAACAACTTCTTTCCCAGTTTTTTTTTTCTTCCAACTATTTAAAATATATGTAGACCACACGAGTAAAACCACAGATGTCACACTTTTCTCATTTTGAGAAAAATGAAATTAAGTTTTTAGTGAAATTAGATATCTGTTTATTAATAATTTATTTAACTAAAAGTATATTTTTCTGACATTTTAGTCCTTACACAATTTAAAAAAGCATTTTTTGTGCTAAACACAAGAATCATTTATTCACAGTGTTCTTTTGAAAACAAGACACTCATTTTAGATATTTGCAGTTTTTCCGTTGTAAACTCATCAACTCATAAATGACGTAACCTTTGTAACCTTTTAGAGCACATAAATCTTTAAAGGCCATTCCCCCCACCCCCTCTTTTAATAAAAAAAATTCGAACAAAATATTATATGAAAGTTTTTTTTAACTTTTTTTTAATACAAAATAGCATTGCAACCTTATCTCTTCCCCAACCTTATCTATTTACCACAGATGATTCCAGGATGTCTTTTATCATCACTTTATATCAAGTTTGTATAAACCATATGTATAGTTTATACAAACCATACATATGTTTTATACAAACTTGATTTGAAACCAATTGTGAACACAGCGTTAATAAAAAATGTTTTGTTTCTATTTTCAAAGAAAAATAAACTAAAAAAAAAAGATCAAATAAGATCAAATAATGTCTTATTTTGTTCATTCAGAAAATGTTTAGCTTAGGTAAGTCTTTACATTTTTAACAAAATAAGGCAACAGAGCTATGTATGCTTGTTTCAGTTTATCAGGCACTTCGATCATCGATCTAAACATATAGGATGTAGCACACATAAAATTAAATATTTCCATTTTTCCATATAATTAAACTTTACCTAGCCTTTAATATTTCTATTTCTCTAAGTGAACATGTCTTAAATGAACAAACAACTAAGAAGTTTTGCTTTGAAACTCTGCAAATTTCAAAAATTTTTCTTGTATCATGTTTATATACAATATTGATTGGTTATGGTTTTTTGTGAGATTCTCTAGTGTTTCTGCAAGAAACTTTTGATTTGCAATGGCCAATGTTTCTGCCACATTTTTTAGAGGTGTAATGCCTATACATAATATGACAGAGTTCTAATTGGCAATGAAACAGTAATGCTGTCAAGTTTTTCAGTTTTATAAACTAGATAATAAAATCAAATTAAAACGTTTCATTTTGTATTTTGCCTAGCACATAATTTGCAAATCAATTTGATATCCTTTAAATTTGAGACAACTGATAGTTTAAAATCATGCAGTATAGAACATACAACATCAGACCATCTGTTTCCAACAGTTTCATCAGCAATAAAAATATATTTTTGAATTGAAAGTATTTTGGCGTTGAAAAAATAAAACAGGTATTGCCTGGAATAGTATACATATTGGTTTCAAACGTTTAGACGTTTTTTTTTTGAAATCTAAGCAAGTTACTTCACAATTAAAAAGATCAGAATATTATTAAGTCCATTTTCTACTTTTTTTAGGATACAAAAGGTACACCTTATGAATTAAAATAAAAGTTGAAATAATTCAAGAGAAAATTTTTGACATTATAAAAAAAAACTTATTTTATATATATATATATATATATATATATATATATATATATATATAATATATATATATATATATATATATATAAATATATATATATTATAGTTTATATATATATATAAACTTTTTTATAAATGTTAAGTAAGAACTGTACCCCAAGAACCATGAACCTGCTTTCACGGATAGCTCCAAAAATACCAAATATGCAGACAAACATTGCAAATAAACCACCAGCGATCATTAAACCTACAGTTGTAACATATGTAACACTACCAAGTAATGTTTCATACTCATTCTTTGCAATCAAAGTCCAAATACCGACACCAAATATACCAGCAGCACATAACTAAATGACAAAATTGTAAAAAACTAATTAAAATATATTTACACACATATATGAGTGTGGTTCTAAAAACAGATAAAAAAATTATAATCAAAAAATCTTGTTTAATTCCCTATTTTTCGTTTTTAGTTAAAAAATGTAATTTTCTGTTTACTAAAATCTAAAATAAAAATTTAATTATAAAATGTATAATATTTTTGAAATTTTTATATTATTTCGCTTCATTTGAGACCCATCATGACATACTTTTTTTTTAATAATATAAGGGACCTATTTAATGTTTGAGGGTCGGTAGCGAACCTTTAAAATATTTTTTATTTAAAAAATTTTTAAATCCAGCATTTTTTCATTATATACAACATATTCAGAGGGTGCCAGAAGTCATTTTTAAAATAAAATTGTTTTATTTAAATATTATACTTTTTATATATTAAATACTTTTATATATTAATCACTTTTATTGTGGAGTTATTAATTGTTGTTAAATTCCTGCATCCTATTATGATTAGAAAATTTAAAGACATATTAAAATATTTTAATATATTTTAATTAAACTAGCTAACATTTTATACCATTTTACAATTTTTTTTAATGTAGTGTCTCCTTACTTTTATAATTGACCCACTCGTCCCCCCCCCCCAATCATTTCATATACGATATTTGCAGACCCCCTCTTTCCCTCTTTTTTTCTCTTGAAATCCTTTAGATATCACCACCAGAAAATAAACAATAACCAATGAACAACAATATATAATAAATTAGTAAGACAATAAATAAGTATAATTCATAACATTAAAAAAAAAATGTTATGCATTAATTTAGAGTATAATAACTTTATGTTTGATAATTTATGCTTATAAAAAATAACTAATTAGTCATTTTTTATAAGCAGTAAATACTTTTATAGGTTTTCGTCAAATTTTTATATCAAATAAGTAATGTTGTTAATAAATAAATGGATAGCTAGTGTAAAAACCAACAGAAAACGCTTGTCTAAAAAAATTTTTTTTTTCATTTATCATTATCATTTTTTTTTCATAGTATCTGTTGAATAAATCTGTTGAAAAAGAGAAAACGAATTTTGTTTTTATATTGCAAAATTTTTAATATAATATAGTAGTTTATTTACTTAAGTCAAAAGCAATTGATAAACCAACAAATCCCTGATCATTGCACACAGATATTACCCATATTACAGTTATTGATAAAATAAATATAGTAGTGGCTATAGGACCCCAAAGAAAAAAAAATTTATTTTGTTTTGACATAATATAAAATAAGAGAACCATATTGCAAAGAAAGTGATTTAATAAAGTGGTCTGCACAATATTTTGTACCGCCCACATGCTTGACTTGTCTTAGCAGCCTCATACACTCTATAATAAGGTGTATAAGGCTGAAATTAAGTGATGGCAAATTACAATATCTGTTAATACTTCTGGTTCTTAAATTTTTAGTTTATTAAAAACCACAAACTGTTTTTGTAAAAAAGTTTAATAAGTGTTTTTTCTATAAAAATATTTATATTAATATTAAATTTATAATTTAAAATCTCATTATAAAACCATATTACCATTCGTTACGCATTCATGCCTGCTTGATACAGAACTCAGAGTAGCCATTAAAGCTATGTTAATGGCAAGATACATTCATTTAGCTATATCGAACTAAGATTTGCAGTTTTACTTTTTAAGTTTTATACAACTAAGTTTTAGCTTGCGTAAGGGAAAGAGGTATGTAGTAACTATAATATCTATAGAACTATAAAATTATTTTGTTTTGCATTTAAAAAAAGCAAGCTGAGAAATTAAACCTCCTTAAATACTTTATAAACAAAAAGAGTTTTTTAAAAAGTATGCTTTTAATAAGAACATAATTGTTAATTATAATTTTATACTTAATAAAACATTTTATTGATATTGCTTTATATTGAAACAAAAACTTTTAAAAATAATTCAATATTAAAGTAACAGACTACTTTAAAGCCTCATAACTTTTTTCTAACTTTCAACAAGTGTCTCATTTTTTCTAGAAGTGTTTTCTGGGTAGTTCTGTATTAAAAATACTGGTTTTTGTTGACTTGTATCATATTAGAAAAAAATTATAGCCTCCTCAACTTCGAAAAAAGTTTGAAAAATGCTAAAAAAGGCCAAAATGAAATTAACTGTAGTACTTTTCTATTCTGCAACAAGTCCCTACAGTTTTGTTTTCTGATTAGCTAATCTTATCTACAACAAACAGGCAAAAAATAAGCCGCTTGTTGCAGTTTAAAACTTAAATACATCTAAAAATGTATTGTCCGTTTGCCAAAAAAGTCCTATTTTCAGCCATTTTGAAATGCTCGTAATTCTTTCTAACACTTTGTATTGTTCTAAGCTTAACAGCAATAAAGACCATAAGATCCAAATATCTGAAAATGCAATCATTTTTTACTTGTTGCATTCACATCAAAAATGGCAGCATTTTAAAATAGCCCTACTTTTTAATTAGCTAGGGTTGAATGCATTATTAGAAACCAGTGCCCCCCCCCCCAAC